GGATGGGGACGTGTCTGCGACCCATGACGCAGGAGATGACCGGGCTGATTCCCCGGATGGTCACGCTGAGGCCGGCTCTCCTCATCCAGGTTGGTTAACTTTACTCAACCTTTTGGTTTCACTTTCTTTTTGATAAGGTATAAAATCTAACCGGTCACTTGTTGCTTTTGTTCTTTTTTCAGACATGAACTTCAACAGGATGACCACCATCATTGAGGATGATGACGATGATGTCCAAGTCCTCAACTCCAACCGGTCTCCTCTCTCCAAGCCTCCCTCTCCTCCTTACTTCCCTGAAATGGATGGGACCACAAGTGCCCGGTGTAGCCCTATCCAGAGCCAAAAACTGAACTCTCCTCCAGCCACCCATCTCTCTGAAAGTAACCGGGTCCCTTATCCCAAGAAGGATGTCAAGGCCAAAGGGAAAGGGACCGGTCATTCTTCTTCTCAGAAAAGGAAGAGTTCCCACAAGACTTCCAGGGGGGAAAAGAGGAAGAAGGTCAGGCTATCAGATCTAGAAGGGGAGTCCATTGAAGTGACATTTTTATCCTTGGCCCAGAAACTCAGCAAGGTACCAACTCTGATTTTCCTCCCGGTTTAATTACTTCCTTTGCTTTTACTGACAAGCTTGTTTTCCACGTTGGAGTTCTATCCGAAGAAGTTGGCTGGTCACTCCTGGAGTCCAAGGACCAGGTCTCCGAACTTACCCTCCTTCTTGATTCTGCCAAGTTGGAGATCAATGACCGGGTCGAGAGGGAGATGAGACTTGAAGAGGAGCTGAAGGAAGAGAGGGCCAGGCTAGACGAGGAAAGAGCCAACCTGGTGGAGGCGAAGAGGAAGTTGGTAGAGCTAGAGGATGCCTTGGCCCAAGCTGAAGAGATTGCCCGGTCAAAGGAGCAATCCTTTCCTGATGATGCTGCACGATGGGCTGCCGGGCATCATGTCGAGACTGCCCGGTCCATTCTAGTTGGGCCGGAGGAGACAATGGCCTTCTTCAAGACCATGTACAAGGAGCCGGAGGGCAAAAAGATGATAACCGATATCGGTTCATATGGTTTCCAATGCGGTCAGAAGGATGAGAGGTCACTCCTCTACTCCAGGCTTCAGAAGAGGGACCCTTCCTTTGACCCGGCTAAAGTGAAGCTCCCGGCCTTGTATACGGAAGAGCCAGCTCCCCCCTTTCCCCTAGAGTAGGTTAGGGTTTGATTTGATAAAACTTTGAATTTTCCCAAGGCCTGGGGGATGTCCGGCCTACTCCTGACTTGCGTAATATTATCTTTTGTTTTGTATGGTTTTCAATTTACCGGCTTGTTTCTTTTTTCAGTTTGCATGGTTTGATTCCTTTTTCCCGCTTGCTCAATACTTCTTGCATGGTTGTTTTCCTTGTTTGGTCCTTACTTGAAGTCGCATGGTCAGACTTGCCTTTTCTTGAACATGCTTGGTTTAACTTTCAAGTAGAAAACAATAACCAGCCTTATACCTCAGGAATCGTTTTAAAGAACGACCAGGGCATCTCATGTCCTGGTCCTGAAAACGTCCAGGCCTCATTGGCTTGGTTGACGATTTTATTGAATATGCTTGATTCCAAGTCAAAAGAAGTAACCGGCTTTATCCTTTGTAGTTGTCCAGGTCACCTCGTGTCCTGGTCTTTGGTTAACGCCTTAGAAACGTCTAGGTCTGGTAGGCTTTGTTGACAGCGTCCAGGTCAATTCCATCTCTTGAAAATGTCCAGGTCATGTTATGTCCTGGTCAAGTACAAGCCTTGAAAACATCCAGGTCTTGCAACCTTGAAAACGTCCAGATCTTGTGGCCTGATTTGTCTTCCGGACCGGCTTGTGTTTAGGTTGAACTGCAACAAACGTCCAGGTCATCTCATGTCCTGGTGTAGTAGGCTAGGTTGGAAGTTTTGAAAACCACTTTAGACGCAAGGCTTGAAAACTTGCAGGTCATCTCATGTCCTGGTTTCTTGACTTGAAAACGTCTAGGTCGGTTTTTTCCTCGCCTGTTTTCTGACCCAGTCAACTTCCAGGTTCTGATGGCTTGGTTGCAATATGTAACCAGCATGACGTCAAATTTCCTGTCCAGGTGCCGGGTCAAAAATGTGACCGGTCAAAAAATATTTTTTCTAGTTTTGTCTGATTTCATCAAATCCACCAACTAAAAAGTGACCGGTCACTTTTCTCAAAGTTGACCGGTCAAATTTTAATTTTTTCCCATTCGCATTTTCTTGTCAATCCAGAACATCAAAAAGTGGCCGGTCACTTTTGACCATGCCACCTTCTTCTCCCCCTCTGGCCTGGGTGTTATGCCTAACAGCAACCTTGCTCAAATTTCGAACGAATAATCCGAAACGGTTTTGGAATCATCAAGTCTCAACATCAAGACCCGAACTTTCTTTGGAGATTTTGACCATGTCCTATGATCGCGAACCCTCTCCAAGGTTCAGCCCTCTTCCAGGCAACACCCTTCTTCCAGGGCCCCTCTTCCAGGTTTTAAGTCTTTTAATGTGCCATTCTCTAATCATTAGGTTGACCTAGCCAACCCAATATTCCCACGTGGGGGTATGCCGGTGAGAACCAGCCCTCATCCAATCTTACATGTCCATATGTTATGCGTTTGAAGTGAATTCTAGTCTTCCCTAGACCCTTCAATCCGCAACGGATGGGTCATGCAAGACGGTAATCATTTTTTACTTTGGCATCTTTTTGCCCCTATCCAAATGAAAATTTGGTAGGGATCCATGTAAGTATGGACGCGAGTCCTCTTCCAGACCCAGCCTATCTCAAGGCCATACCTCAACATCAAGGCCCCTATCTCAAGGGTTTATTTTTTTTATTTTTTTTTTACCTTGCCTCTTACATCAAGACATTAGTTTAGTATTACTGACCCAGCAACACTAGTATTGAAGAAATCTCTTATTTATCATCGAAGGGGTATTACAAATACATGTCCTGCCAATTTGGTCTATCGGTAGAATTTTCTAAGGTGGTGGGAATTCCAGCACCTTTCCAACTCTCGACCTTCCGTTGTTTCTAACTTGTATGTCCCAGGGCGTAATATTGCCTTGACCCTATATGGGCCTTCCCATTTCTTCGCAAGCTTTCCACCATCACTCGGTTTGCTGGCCTCCCTTCGTCTCAAGACCTCATCACCGACTTGGAAATAACGAGGCCCTACCTTGTTATCATGGTAGGCCTTGGCCGCTTGCTGGTACTCTATCATTTTAGCCTCAGCAACCATCCGCCTTTCCTCCAACAAGTTCAACTCTGCCAAATGGTCCTCCTCATTCCCTTTCTCTTCGTAGACCTTCTCCCGAAAGGTCATTATTTTAGCTTCGATGGGTAGTCTGGCCTCACATCCATATGTAAGGACGAAGGGTGTCTCCCCGGTGGCCCTTCTCGAAGTGACTCGGTAAGCCCAGATGATATGTGG